AAGACCAAAAGGAGGGGGGAAAATGTTTTCACACTATAGTACAGAAGAAAACTTAATAAGCAAACACTTGTCCATAAAGAGTTGACAGAAAAAAAAATAATAAAAAAAACCCTCCCAGACACCAAATGAAAACAATATCTGAATGTGAGCCTGGCAAGAGAACAAAGGGAATGAAGTTATGAAAGCGCGGATTTGGAAAGGGCCGTAATCATTTATAATAGCAGCAACTGTCCTGGATTCCCCTCATCAAAAAAGAACACAGACGTGGCCACCAGCCATCAGTGTCTGCATCTTACAAAGGGTCCCCCGGGCGGAAGGGTGTAATGGAAATACATGGAGGAGCAGGAGGACTTGAATCTTGGGCCCATTTCTGACACAGCCCAGTTAAGAGACCATGGGCACGTCACTCCAGATGTGGATGAAGCCTCAGAAGTTGAAGGTCTAAGGGTCCTTTGTGGACCAGTAGGCTCTGTATCCGTCTGAGCATTCAGCCTTCGGATGTTGGGGTATAAGGTTCAAAGGTGACAAAGAAGGGAAGGCAGAGGAGAGGTTGGTTTGAAAGACAGATATCAAAAGAGAATCACCCTTGGGGTGCTTTTTATTTTCTTCATCATTTTTTTTTGAACCACACACCTGATGGTGCTCAGGGATGACTTCTAGCTCTGCGCTCAGAGATTACTCTTGACAGGCTCCGGGGACCATATGGGCTGCTGGGAATCAAACCCAGGCCACATGCAAGGCAAACACCCTCTCTGCTGGATTACCTCTCCACCCTGGCCCTAAATGCTTTTTGAGGTGCTTTAAGAGACCTGAAGGGAATGGCAGGGAGGTGGGTGGAGGGATAGTAAGGTGAGTAGAGCACTAGCCTTGCATGAGCTCAACCTCAATACCCAGACACATTGTCTCATGACCACTGCCACTAGTGATCCCCCGGTGTAGGGCCAGGAGTAAGCCCTGAGCACTTCTGGGTATGGCCCAATAATCAAACAAACAAAACCCTCCAAAATAGAAAAAAAAGGGATTTGGTCCAATTTCCTTTCACTGAAAATGTCTAATCCCTCAATGTATACAGCCCCCACAAAATAGTCCCGAAAGACCATTTCCTGACCTACACCTGGATCCCTTTCGTCACAAAACTTCAAACTTCCTCTTTCTAGTGAAGGAGAATCAATTTCCTCCGAAACTGCCTGGTATCGCCCTCCAGCCTCACAGCAACTGTTCTCTTACTCCTCCTCCCTGAGCTCTTCCAACACTCGAGTCCTCCTCCAAGTCAGGCTCAACACCCACACTGTGTAACCCCTCCTCCTCCAACACAGCTTCTAGCATGTTCACGGGAGAAGTAAGTTTTCCTGGTTCTAGCTTAGTAGAGAAAAAAAACTGGGGGGAGGGGCACACCCAGTGGTGCCTAGCGGTTTTTCCTGACTCTGTGTTCAGGAGCAATCCCCCTGAAGGTGCTCTGAATGACATACACGGTGTCAGAAAAATCAAACTAGGGACGTAGCTGCCTTCACCACATACAAAACAAGAGCCCGACCTTCCTGGGTCACCTCTTTAGACCAGCAGGTCTGACAACTCAGTCTGATCCAGCCCCCTACAAAACATGAACCGAGTGCCTTCTAGGATCCATACCCTTTTGATCTTAACTACACTCTGAGCACCTTTAGAATGAATTCACCTGGAGCCAGAGAGACAGTACAGAGGTGAGAGTGCTTGCTATACACACTGTCAACTTCAGTTCAATTGCCAAACCCCCACATGGGCCCCTGAGCACCAGTAGGAGTGACCCTGTGCACAGAATCAGGAGTGAGTCCTGAGCAACACTAGTGTGGTGCAACCCTCTCACCCAAAATACATAAACTTGATTGTATCTTGTTTGGGGCTACCCTAATTGTTTTTTAAAATAACACTGCACTTTTATCCCAATGACCAGTTCATTCCTCTGTCGCCAACTGTGGACATACAAACTTGGAAGCCAGATGGACCCAGAGAGGCTATATCACCCCCCAGCTCAGTGGCTTTAAATCGGAAAACACTGGCTCAGATGCGAGGATCTGTCCAAGTCTCTGGCAAAAATAGTTTTTAAAAGTCAAGCCAAAGCCAAGGACAGATTTGCGGGACACCGAAGATGATCTTTGACCCGTCAATGGGACATAGGGTGGCAGCGCTCACACGGTGGGGATGGAAGATGGCATGGCAAGCAAGAGAAAGGCAAATGCTATGCCAGAATCTTCACATACTGACTTCATACCAGAGTCTTTTAAGAGCATCCCATGGTCCTCACAGGGAGAGGAATGGTGGGATGAAGTTACTGGCGGGGGTGGAGGGGTGGGAGGGAAAGGTCGGGGGGAGGTGACTAGCACCTCATGTGAAGACACTGGGGCTGGAGCTCACTTCTGTCTCCCTCCTGTTGGCAACCACGGCAGAGTACAGGAAAAGCACACGTAGTGTGTGGTTGATGCAGCCGGGTTTGGGGTGGGTGGGGAGGGGAGACAAGATGGAAAGTTGGGGGGGCCGGGAGTGAGGCCCCCAAGCGATATTCAGGCAGATAGCTGGAAAGGTGAGATGGAGGCCACACATCCGTCGGAATAGGAACACAAGGCAGTGGGCGATTAAGAGTCATCCCAGACTGACTATGGTGTGTGAACTCATTCACATATTTGAAAACTCATTTCACAGCTAATGATAAGGGTTTGGGAGCTACGGCCAAAGTGGGTGCCTGCAGATGGATTGCTTTTAGCCAGGGCTGACAAGGATGAGAAAGGCTTTTCTAGAAGTGACTAGACTGGGTTGGGGAGGTACAAGGTTCCCAGGCTCAGAGACCAGGAGTATTTGCAGTGTATTCCTGTCTGCAGTGTATTCCTTTCTGTGAAGAAGGCCAATGGGCTGGAGGAGAATTAGCAAGGGGAAGAGCAGTAGAGAAATAAGGATCAACAGATGCCTGGCAGGAGTCAGGCTCTGTAGGGTTCTGCATTCTGTTCTGACTGAACAGAGAAGCCACTAGACAGGGTTTCAGCAGGAAGTAGCAAGACATCACTTTTTATGACTCTTGCCATTAGCATGATTACTACTTATTGAAATCACAGAGCTAAATTTACGGTGTCCTAAAATACCATTTCATGACTCTCCAGAGAGAGAGAGAGAGAGAGAGAGAGAGAGAGAGCAAAGGGAAAGGGAAAGAGAGTGTACCCCCAGGCTGCTTCTGACTTCTAGATAGTCCATAAACCAAGCCTTGACTAATCTTGTCCAGAATTTGCCAGAAAATTCTCGTGATCTGACAATCCAACATCCATCACCTTTCCTATCCCCCAACTCACTCTGGAAACACTTTTCCCCTTCCTCCTGGTGGCATGAAAAGTCTGGGCAGATGCTGGGAGATGGAAAGGGGCTGAGAGAGGGGGAATCTAGGCAGAGGGATATGGAGCGATGGAACTGGGAGGAGCTGGTCTGGTGGGGCAGGGGATGAACAAAGAAGTCACTGCCTGCGTGTGAAGTGTGATGGGATGAAGGGATGAAAACACAAACAGGTCAGTGGACCAGCTTGGGCAAAACCAGTCACAGAGTTCCCGAGAGAAAGCAGAGAGGGCAACTCATAATTCTACTTGGGTGGCAGAACTGTGGCTGGATCTTTCCTACATTTGAGGTACATTTTCTGTACTGTCATTCTTTCTGTGATAATCATAGTATTTAAAGAAAAAAAAAAGAACATTAGGCAGGGGAATTTCTTTCCTGGAGCAAGTTAAAGTCCCAAAGGAATTCCCCAAGGTTATTTGGTCTACTGCCCCCTTTTCAGAAGAGAGATAATTCACTCCAGGAAATCTATCTTCTTTAAGGGAACAAACACAGAGGGCCCCCACAACTGCACCCCAGTGAGCACTGACCTTTTTGGCAAACACTGGTCTACAGGAACACCCATAGGGAGCGGTAAGGGACATTAAAATGTCTTGGGACATTAAAATCAAACCCAATGCATATATATATATATATATATATATATATATATATATATATTTGTTGTTAAAATTTCACTCAAAAATGTACTGGAGTGGGGATATTTGAGAATGCAGAGACTACAGGAAAGATTCTCTGGGCATTTTGGTAGCCTACAAGTGGCCAAGCAGAGCTGAGAGTTGGACAAGGTAAGTCCCCTGTAGGAACCCTGTCCAATCACCTATTTGCCTGCTGGGGTGAGAGCAACAGATTCCACTGGAAAACAGAAAATACCAAGAAACAAACACATGTGCACAGGCTGATACATCTACAGAGATAAGGACATCAGCACTTTCCCTTCAAAGGGTGTGTCTGAATGCTTCCTTTTCAAGAGAGACCAAATTTTTATGGTCTACTTCCTTAAAAATCACATATTTTTTTATATTCACTTTTTTATATTCCAAATTTTCTCCTCATAAGTCTTTTCATGAGGAAACGTTTTCTATTTTCACAGCAATGGAAACCTTTTCCTATCTAATTTTCCCTTATCTGACATCCCTGCTTAACTCTGTCTCCAAATGCGAGAGTGCTTTCCTTCCCACTCAGACCCTTCCCAACTTTCAGTCACTGCTCAGATTGAAAACCTATTCTTTGGCGCCCACTTGCATCTTACACATTCTTGCTGTACAAGTTTAATTGACTTACACATGTGCTACTTTAATATCTGCCCAAGAGGATGACAATAATGGCTCAGAGGCATGAAATTTAGTTCTAAATCTTTGCATATCCCATCCTTATCACATCTGTTCAAAGCCTGAAATGGTGCCAGATACAACTGTAACCAATTGGACACAAAAGCATCAAAAGAATGCTTTTGAAGGTTAGAAAAATGCCAGTTTTCTTCCATGAGTACTAAATATGATTCAAACCCAAATTGTTAATACATAGACACAGACTTTACCTAAATGTTCTAATTAATGTTTTAAATTTATCCTTATACATTGGTCTCACAAGATAATTCAATGATTACAATATTTTGCTTTGGTATAGTCCATAGAACATAATATACTCACAGGCAGGCTTAGGAATTCATTAAAGTAATCCACAAGGAAACTATCTGTTTCCAAAGAATCTTCCTGCAAAAAAAAATAAAAAATACAGTGTTAGGCTTAAACTAAAATATGGTTTATTGGACGCCAATAATACTCTCTAGTTCTGCCACTAATAGATTATAAGGTCGATTTTCAAATCAGTTTCAGTTGGCCAACAGGGAATTCTCACTATAAACAGAGTTCACTGTTACAATCTCTGGCTAAAGAGATAGAGAGAGAGAGAAATAGATTGATAGAGATAAAGAGAGAGAGAGAGAGAGAGAGAGAGAGAGAGAGAGAGAGAGAGAGAGAGAGAAGAGAATGGAGTGGAACCAACGCTTCAGAGACAGGTTCTGTGCCCAGCTGTGAAACAATGCATCAAAAATATTAACAGAGACATCAACAGGAATCAGAAAATTTTATGCGGGGCTAACTTTCCCACCATCTGAATAAAACATGCATCTTAAGGGGCTGGAGAGGTAGTACAGTGGATAAGGTGTTTGCCTTGCATGCGGCCGACCCGGGTTCGGTCCCCTGCATCCCATATGTCGCCTGAACACCGCCAGAGGTAACCCCTGAGCATAGCCAGGTGAACCAAAAAACAAAAACAAACAACAACAACAACAACAAAAAAGACGAAGAAAAAAAAGCAGAACCAAGATGGTCAGGAGCAGTAATCAGGGGTGGAATGAAACTAGTAATTTAAATTTCTTAAATTGCTCCACGGAAGCTAAAAGCTAAGTGGAGAAAATAGAGCTCTGCTGGGGATCCCACTCTGCACCCCACCAGGATGCACGTGGTGGTCATTATCCTGCTTCACTTCATGAAGAAGCTTGACCGAGCCTGCATTGTAGGCAGAGAAGCTGGACACGCTTGTTTCCTTAACTAACTCATCCACAAGAGGATCACTTTTTAAATGGGAAAACTTGGAGATCCACAGCCAAGAACAAATTCTCTCTTCCAAATGAAACACCTTATTTTATTAGCAATTGTTTCCATTGTGTCAAAGGCACATCGTGGCATACTCCGGTATCTGGTACATGTGTTTATTTTGTTATTCATAATTATTTTTCAATTTTACAAATCTAACATGAAAGTTGACAATATGACACAACGCTATTATTTCCATATGGCTGAATATTTTCTCCTTCCCTTACCGGCCAATTTTATTTTTTTTAATGGTTGTAGTATAGTGTTGAAGTTTTAAGGAAGATATGAAACTATATTAACACCTAGTTTGGAAAATCAATTTTCAGAGTAATTTCTTTAAGTGACTGCAGTGTCAAAGTACAATTATTAGCAATCAGTCATAACACTTCAATTTGGGAGTTTATTTAAAATCTGAACTATTTTAAGTCACAAGTAAAGGATTTCAATGCATCTAAATCCTGAATTGATGAAAACAACAAGTGTGGGGTCTCATAACTCTCCTGATTCTGTGGTTGTGCCATGGTGATACATTCTCCAGAACAAGAGGGCTGGAGTCATAGTACTCTGGTAGGGCTCTTGCCTTGTACCCAGCCAAATAGGGTTTGGTCCTCAGCACCCCCTAGGGTCCCTGAGCACCACCAAGAGTGATCTCTGAGTACAGAGTCAGGAGTAAGCCCTGAGCATCACTAGATGTGGCCCAAAATTAAGCAAACATCCTCCAGAATAGTTTCTGAAAGATTGTGACCCAATTACGCAGAGCTCATTTGCAGGTAGTTGGTGAAAAGATTCTATTTTTTTTGATTTGGGGATTTTTGTTGTTGCCTTTCTGTTTTGGGCCTCTCTTCAGTCATGTTCAGGGCTTACTCCTGGCAAGGTTCAGGGGCCCGTGTGGCGTGCTGGGAACAGAACCCAGGTCAGCCACATTCAAGGCAAGTGATCTACCTGCCATCTACAATGCCTCTAGACCCCAAAGTGAGTTTGTTTTCTCTTGTTTGAGGGGACGCGCATCCCCAGCTGTGCTCAGGGGACTGTATGTGGTGCCAAGGATGAAACCTCTGCAGGACACATGCAAGGCAAGTGCCTTACCCACTGTTCTATCTCTGACAATTCTGCATTTCCCCTCTGCAAGCCCGTCTCAATTTCCACCATGTGGAGTGTTACAGCATCTGCTGGAAGAAGGATGGGGCTATCCCAGAAGACAGCCTCCAATATCTTATCACATCAGTGACAAAAAACATTGAGAGAGTGAGTGAGGGAGAGAGAGAGAGAGAGAGAGAGAGAGAGAGAGAGAGAGAGAGAGAGAGAGAGAGAGAAAGTGCCTGCCATAGGGCTGATTCTGGCACCTTCCATCTCAACTCCGTCGAGGTGCTCCGCCAGGACGTCTCAGCCCAGCCATGTGGCTTGCGAGATGGACTCCCCATCTTACCCCACCCGGAATGACCACCAAGGAGGGGAGGGTGGGGCCTGCTTTAGAGTCGTAGGTCCCTGCGCTTTGGGTCACGCTGAGCAGCGGTTCCTTCTGGAATGAGGATGGGGTCTGAATAAAGCGAGAAGGAACCAGTAACTAAAAAGAAAAAAAAAGTGCCTGCCATAGAGACAGGCTGGGGGCGGGGTAGGGGGGCAACGTTGGGAGGGAACCTAGTGACACAGGTGCTGGGAAATGTGCACTGTTGGAGAGATGGGTGTTGGAACACTATGACTGAAACCTAATCATTTCTTTTGCCTTTTTGGGTCACACCGGCAATGCTCAGGGGTTACTCCTGCCTCTTCACTTAGGAATTACTCCTGGCGGTGCTCGGGGAAACCATATGGGATGCTGGGAATCGAACCCTGGTCTTCCATATGCATTGCAAACACCCTCCCTGCTGTACTATCGCTCCAGCCCCTGAAATCTAATCATGAACAGCTTTGTAAAGGTCTATCTCACAGGGATTCAATTTCAAAAATCCTTTAAAACCAACCCAAAAAAATCCTTTCCTGATCACCAAGGACCTGATAAAGCCTTTATTCTCAACATTCTCTACTAAAAGTTTTAAGTCTTGGGGGCTGGAGATAGAGTACAGGAGGGAAGGCATTTGCCTCGCAAGCCCGTCAACCTGGGTTTGATCCCCAGCACTCCGTAGGGTCCCCCCGAGCACCACGAGGAGTATCCCTGAGAGTTCAGTTGGGAATAACCCTTGAGCACAGCCGAATGTGGCCCAAAAAACAAAAGAAGTTGAGGAGCTTGCGGGAGACGCCTGGGACAGACAGCTGATGAAACCGCGGGCCACAAAGAGGGCTTCCTGTCATTCTTAGGGAGGCACAGATTGTTTGAACAAGAAACTGGTTGGTTTGTATTGGGGAATCCTATGAAGGAAAAGAATCTTGGAAAGAAATTCTGGGTCTTGGCATGGATATAGCCCCATCACAGTGCTGTAAGTCCTGGAGACAGTCTCAATTGGTGTTCAATGTATCATTTTCCTGAGTATTATTAATTTTTTCATCTAGCCAAATAAAGGCAAAGTTATTTTACTTAAAAAGGTAAAAGTTTAAGGGCCTTGATTTTCGATACTCTCTGTTAAGTCTTCATCCTCCAGTCCAACGTAAATGAACGAAGAGCCCAGTGGTGTGGCTTAGCGGCCAACCACACGACTGTGAGAGGCCTCTGACTTGGTTCGAGCCTGGACATCCCCCACATTCACAAAGAACAGAATTGCCATATTTGGATGGAACAGCTTCCAAATAACCACAGAACTTCGGATGGCTAATGGGACAATCAAGGGGGAAACTGGGTTACAATCAATTCCTCCATGACGTCACTTCAGGAGTCTGACTACAAAATTTGCAACTCGGACTCTGCCAAGCAATGGCAGGATGGGGAGACGCATTCTTTTTGGAATTGCATACTCTTGAAACCTGTTTTCTCATGCAGCACAGGTGTGCCATCTGTGAAAGTGAACTCAGCTTTTCCATTTTCAGGCCCAACTTCTCCAAGGTTTTTCTTAAGACGGTTAAGCAAAATTACACATGTGTGCCTGCTAATAGTGGTATGTGTGTGCGTGTGTATTGGCCTAAAATTTTGCTGCATGCTCTGCTCAGATCAACCACAATCTCTTCATAATTCTTAAGAAGCCAGTGACACAAAGGCAGCCTTATAAACAGCGGAAGCCTTATAAATACAGATACAAGCTACAGTCCAAGAAAGAATAGAAGACGTGCCATAAGAAAGTTACAGCATAAACTTTTTAACATCCCAAAGGTATTATCTGGAAAGAGGAACCAAAAGAGTCCCGAATGGAAAGAGGAAAAGCATTTGAATTCTGTCTCGCATCACTTCAGACTCTTCATTCAGAAACATACATATGCAAGAGGGAATTGCACCACGCAACGCATGAGCAGAGAGAGGCTGGAAAGCAAAACACAGTAAAAGTTGTCACAGTTAGGTAATGGCAGAAGGGGGAAAATAATTCAAATTTCCAACTTCCTCTCAAGCCATTCAGATATTAAACCAAAGCCATTCATTGAATTTCTAATGCAGAGTCCTAAACTAGCATGCAGTAGGTCAGAAGGACAACCCAGCACAGGGTAGATCCTGCTTCCAAAATGATACCCATCAGAATGGGTATTATAATAAAATATATCATGATATATTATACAATTATTATATAGTATTGTGTAGGGCTGGAGCGATAGCACAGCGGTAGGGCGTTTGCCTTGCACACAACCAGCCCGGCCAAGCCAGGTTCGATTCCTCCACCCCTCTCAAAGAGCCTGGCAAGCTCTCTGAGAGTATCTCTCGAGAGTATCTCACCCACATGGCAAAGCCTGGCTAGCTACCCGTGATGTATTCTATATGCCAAACACAGTTACAACACGTCTCAAAATGGAGACGTTACTGGGCCCGCTCGAGCAAATCGATGAACAATGGGAGGACAGTGACAGTGACAGTTATAATAATATTGTATATTAATATTCTGTGTTGTAATATATTTTATCATATATTATACTTATAAAGGTTATATTGTTATATGTTATTATAATATCACTTGTCACTTGTCATCCCATTGATCATCGATTTGCTCGAGTGGGTGCCAGTAACGTCTCCATTCATTCCTGTCACGTGCTAATGTAGCCCACTGGAGTCTGCTCGCTCCAGGAACACAAAGAACCTCAAACCTGGGTAGGCAGCCATACATTCTTTTGACGTCCCGTGGAATCCAGTAGGTAACAGCGCTAGTCCCAGCGGTTGTCTCTAAATCATATTACATGTCTGGCCCATCTGATTTTCCACGCCTTGGCAAACGAGACAGCGTCCCTGATTCTTCACCGTTGATGGAGGTCGTAACTCTGTATTCTTTCTCTCATTTGAGTGAAACGTGATATTCCAAGCATAGCTCTTTTGATTCCTCTTCGGGATATCCGAATAGCATTCTCATCCTGTTTTTGTAGGGCCCAGGTCTCTGAGGCGTATGTTAGTGCAGGAAGAATGGTGGAGTTGAAAAGATGTGCCTGGAGCTGGAGGTTCTTCATCCTCTTAACCCTTTCTTCTACGCTTTTGAAGGTGCTCCACACCACTCTCTTCCTCCTGTGCAGTTCAGGTGCCACGTCGTTCATCATGTTGAGTTCTCGACCTAGGTACACATAACTGCTGCGTTCAGAAATGTTCATTCCATTGAGGGCAAATGGAACCTCAGGAACTCGACCTCGATGGTTCACTGCCTCACCGTGGGAAGAGGGCGGCAACAGTGCCAACCGGCGAAGAGCAAACTAACACAGATGGTTACAACATGCCACCTGCACGGCAGAGCCTGGCAAGCTACCTATGGCATATCTGATAGTCCAAAAACAGTAAAATAAATGGGCCTCATTCCTCTAACCCTGGAAGATTCCCCAATATGGCAGCGTTGAGAAGGATGAACAAGGAGAGGCTGCTAAAATCTCAGGGCTGAACGAGGCTGCCAAAGTGAAGAAGAACTAAAATGATTATCTGCATTTTTAATGCATGTATACTGGCATCAGAAGCATCTGTCGAGGACCTAATGGTGCAAGCGCAGAAGACCAAGTATGATGTCATTGGATTGACCGAGACAAGAAGGCATCGATTACATTGTGCCATTTTTGACACTGGAGAAGAACTGTTCCTTGAAACATGCGACAGTAGAGGCATCAGTGGTGTTGGTGTCCTCGTCAACACAAACTTGGCCATGAGCTTTGATTCGTTTGAATGCCTAACAACCCAAATTGGATACTTATGTTTGAATAGATGTGGCTCATTGCCTGCAGTTTCTATTTTCATCGTCTATGCACCAACATCCAACTACGACGACGAAGAAATTGAGAAGTTCTACATGGAGCTGGAGAAGTTCTATAAAGAAGACCACATCTTCTACAAGATCATTGTTGGTGACTTTAACACCAAGATAGGACCAAGAAGGTCGCCCAAAGAACTCCTCATTGGGACCCACAGCCTAGAATGGAACGAACAGGGTGAGAGACTATCTGAGTTCATCATGTTGACCAAGACCATCCATGGTAACTCACAGTTCCGGAAGGCCGAATCTAAACGTTGGACATGGGAGTATCCCGGTGGACAGTTCCACAACTAAATTGACCACATCATATTCAATTCACAGTTTTGCCTGACCAATGTCAGTTATCCCAAAATTCCAAACAGGATCGGATCACCATCTCCTTCATGCGAAATTCTACTTCACGGAGCGGGGAGAAAGATCTGCAAAGTTTAAGAAGAAGAAGAGAACTCCCAGAACCACCACCAACTGGAGCTCTTTGGCACTACTGCAGCAATATGGGAAGATGCCATCGTTGACAACATCAATAAAGAATCCAGGATCGACTGGATCAGCACCTCCATGATTGTGCGAGGAACACAGAGAGAGAAAAAGCCACAAAAAGATGCCTGTCTTCAGAGACTCTTGAGTTCATTCACCAACGTTGCTTGGCATGAGCCTCAGGCAACCACAAGCTAACGTCCGAGCTCGCAAAGCAGTGCAGAGAAGAGATCAAGGAAGACCTCAAAGAGAGAAGAGCAGCTGTGCTGGCCCATGTGGCAAAAGTCAGGAAAAGTATTCGCAGTGCCTGCCTGTCCTTCGCCAACTATAACACCAAAATGACTGCCCTCAGACAGCCTGATGGATCTATCACATCTTTCAGAAGGACAATGGAAAAGATTATCCACGACTTCTACTCGAATCTCTTCAATAGCCATGTCCACCTGCCCACATACCAAATTCCACAGGATGGATATGTCGTTCCCAGCGGTCTCCCATCTGAAGTTCGACATGTCATTTTGTTGGTAAAGAAGCATACATCACCTGGTTCAGACAAGGTCAGACCTGAACACCTGAAGAATCTGCCGCCAGTACTTGTCAATATGCTGGCTCAGCTTTTCACATGCTACCTGTCTGAATGCAAGGTTCCATCCCAATGGAAAACCATCAGAACCGTCCTAATGTACAAGAAGGGAGACAAACGCGACATTGGAAACTATTGCCCAATCTGCCTGTTGTCCGTCATCTACAAGTAATTCATTCAAATCATCCTGAATAGGATTGGCAGAATACTAGACGAAGGATAACCATGCGAGCAAGCTGGATTCCGAAAAGGATTCAGCATGATCGACCATATCCACACGGTGACCAAGCTCATTGAGGTTTTGCGAGAGTTCAAGATACCACTCTGTCTAACGTTCATTGATTTAAAGAACGCAAGCTACCGAGAGTATTCGATATGCCAGACACAGTAACAACAAAGTCTCCAATGGAGACGTTACTGGGCCCGCTCGAGCAAATCGACGATCAACGGGAGGGCCTTTACCTTTACCTTTACCTTTGATTCTGTTAAGACTGAAGTAGTTATCAAAGCCCTAGCCAAACAGGGCATTCAAACTCAGTACATCAGGATCCTCCATGAACTGTATTGCGGATTCCCCACCAGGATCTCACCATTCTACAAGAAAGTGATCATCATTGTCAAAAAGGGTTTGACAGGGTGATACCATTTCACTGAAACTCTTCAACGCCACCCTTGAGAACATTATGCACCCTTGAGAACATTATGACAGGAATGGGAGTGAAGATAGATGGTCAGCAATGATACCACCTCTGCTTCGCTGATGACATAGTTCCAATAACACCAAATATCAGCCAAGTAGCATGAATGCTGGTCAACTTTAACCATGAGTGTGGAAAGGTGGGACTACATCTGAATCTCACGAAGACAATGCTCATGAGAAACAAACTAGTTGCTGACGTTCCTGATGTTCCTGACATTCTACTATAATATACATATATATTATAAGATAGACGGTATTATAATAAACCTCTCTTTACTACTTCTCCCTAAAGTCCACTTGAATTCATTGATTCTCCTCCTTCAGTGAGTCCATCGCTGGTTTCATTCATCCCACCAGCATGGGGAGGTGGGATGAAGTGGAAGACAATGAGTTGACATTAATCAAGGTAACTCCTAAGTGCAGAGAATGGGATTCAATAGGTCCAACAAAAGGACCCTTCACAAATCTTCCGCCTTCAGGCAGCAAGACACTGAGAGGGAGGGAGGGCAGATTTCAGCAGCCTCAGGATGGTGAGCCCACTTATAGGTGACCTTACCTTGCTTGGGTCTCCTCGGACCCAGCTCCCTCACATGAGATGTTGGCCCCTAAGCCATGTCCCACCCTCTCACTGCTCCAAAGACACTGACCACGGGGCTGGTCAGGCTTCTGTCATGCGTTAATTAGCAAGCTTC